GATGGCTTGGGGGATTAGGTAGGTTATTGTTCTGTTCCTTGACTTATCAGATCACTCCAAATTAATGGATTTTGCCATGTGAATTGTGTTCTTATTTCACTTTACCACTAGATCACACTAGATTTCATTGAAAATGAAGAATGAGTTTTCCTACTGTTTCTGAATTCTTGGTGGAAAAAAGATATGACTAACCTGGTAGGGAGAATAGAATATTCATAGTTTGTATTCTGTTGTTACCAAGTGGATGCTATTGTATTTGGCAGTTATTTGCTATCAGATTATCTTTGCCTTTATCCATGTTGATTTATGCATCAGCAACTGCCTGATCTATAGCTTATCCATGCTACAGTAAAGATCATGTGCCTCAGCTGCAGTTCAAGCTAAGATTAAAAATTGTCTTGCAACTGTGTATTTATAAAGGAAAACAAGTGGTTTATATTATTAATGAGGCTCCTTTAGCAAGAATGATATGGGTTGTGTTCTTGTCATACCTTGATTGAAATATAATTGAAAAGAAGTCAATTATAGGACTTTTTCTTTTCTTAAAGCTCCTGAAAAATGTATTTTGGATACATTTTTGAGCAGGTGCTTCCTCTATATAGTGAATAGCTTAAATCAGAAACTTGCTTTTTGCCCAAAATTCTTAACTGAAATCACAGGGCTGACTGACATAGGCGTTTATATATCTACTCATCTGTGCTGCTGCTGACAGCCAATTCCCACAGTTGGCCTGGAATGGAGATAGAAGAGATGTTGGGGATTATGAAGAAGGCTATAGAAAAGGCTTTGGACCTATGTCCTTGTGGAAGTCATTAATTGTAAAGGTACAAGTAGGGTACCTAGAGTTCTAGAGAACAAGTTGTACTACAAGCTCTATTAAATACTCCCACCCAGCGTTTTTCTTAGTAATGTTAATTAGAAGGAAAACATAAATAGTAAAACTGTTAGATTTCTTCCTCATCTTTTTCCCCAGCCGAGGCGTACAGTTATTGATTTTTGAGAATCACAATTGTTTCTTACATCCTGAAATGTAGCCACCTTAGCCGAAACTTTGAGAAGTGTTCAAGGACAAAATTCTTATTGATGTAGGGACAAACCTAGGCAACTGAATTAGATTGCTTTTAAGTCCAATATACAATGAAATGTAATATTTCTGGTTGAGATTGGATATACACGCAGCAATTTGAAGGATGATTTGGTCAAAATAATCAAGATGTCAGGGAGCATGGTGCCTGACATTTCTGCTGCACAAGAAAAATCCTATCTGGACATCCTTCAAAAGGTACTTGGAACTTAAGATAATGTTGCATTAGGAGAACAGCATAGAAAGAGAATCTTACATGTACTTTAGTGAAGCAGATAGAGCTGTATTAAGTTCTACTGTACATTGTTTCCATTCTTTAGAGGTTGTAGAGGATATTTTTAGTTATCATGAATGGTGGGTAACTAGAAAATGTTATATATTTATGATGTTTTGCCAGACAAAACATGACTTTTGTTGATTAACTATGTTTTGTCCTCTTTTGTGCTGATATCATTGGCCCTTGGGAACAACTAGGTTCTTGATTAGAGCTGTTCCAGGAATCTGGTACTATAACATTTCCTACACAGTGACTCTGACTATGTCTGGAGCATAATAATAAAAATGTTTTGAGAATTAATACTTATGGATAAGATATATTTTTCTCAGAAATTAAATATTGAACATTTCAAAATTTGAGGTGCATGTAGATACCGCTTGTCAGTTCCCATTTTTCTTCCTAGCATGGCTGTAGACAAATGGTCCTATGAAGTAATTTGCCTTCAGTAATCTTACAAATTCATCTTTGCTTAAGATTTGATAATGTCTTATGTATTTTTGTTTTCAATATTTTTTTAAAAAAATGGCTCCTACAAATGTTTGTGGTAAAATGTCTTTTCAAGGTATGTGATCCTCTTTCAAATCTCTTGTTGTGACATTTCCCATTATAAAATATATGTGTTCAACTTTATAAGTGGAAGCAGAAAAGCATAAGATAGATTGCGGAGACCATTTTAAAAAAAGTGACAGATAAGCATGCACCTGTATTTCTGCTATTTTTATAGCACAAAAGGATTTTTAAAAGGTATGATAGTGATTAGAGCAAAAATGAACAAGGATTAAAAGGGATAGAATATGTGAAAAGGGGATGTGACTCAATGGTGGAGTGCTTACTCTCTATGTCACAGTTTTCAGCTTCAGTCTATTGGTTTTCCAGTTAAGGCTGGAACAAACATTCATTAAAACCCTATCAGGAGAAAAGAGTTTAATCATTTATGGAGGCAAGTAGATTCCATGTAGCATCACATTAGAAAATGTGTAATTCTAAATCAACAATTTGCATTCATATTCTTCTGTAAACAAGAAATATTGTGGGGAAATTGGCATCTCAGAAACTGACTGGCACTTGATCCCTATGTCTCTGTCTTATAAATAGAGGTATAGGACTATACCCTCTATTTTCTGACGAGAGGATATGGTTCACTTGCTGCAAATAAGCAATAATTGGATCACACGGGTGAGAGCTGGTGGCATTCTAGTGAATTGGTAAAAGCCTTGATTCGTGTTTTCAATGAGTGGCTGCAATTCAGGAATGAACCTCCTTTTAACTGATAAAAATGTCCCCAGTTCAATCTGAGATATCTTCAGAACTCTTTAGATCTCAATTTCCGTATCTCAGTGTGCCTCAGTCGGGTATTTTCCAGATTGTTTGGACCAGTATTTCTCTACCTTGGCAAATTTAAGATGTGTGGACTTCAATTCCCAGAATTCCTCAGCCAGCAGAGTTAAAAGCTATATATCTTAATTTGTTAAGGTTAAGAAACACTGGTTTCGACCCTAATCCCATCAACCCTGCCTGTGACTGATAGAAACTGGAGGCAAAGTTTCAAGAAGGCACCACTTTTCCCATCTTTGTTGGAAGGAAGCTCACAATATTCCAAAATGTATAGGAAAAGGTCATCTACACGAGGTCTGAAGAAAAGCACACAATTAGGACTTTCCAACTACCACACAAATCTCTGAAAAGCAGTCCATTGCAGAGACAAAGTGTAAAGATTGCTCTTGTGATATGGAAAGCTTCTCTGCCTATATATGTCCATGTGTTCTGTAAATTATGAATATTTACTTATTTCATATTGATTCCTATAGCACCAATTCCACATGTAAATATGGAATTTTTTCACATTTGGCTTTGATAAGTGTGAAGAAGAATTCACTTTTCTTGAAATATATATTAATGTAAATATAATTCTCTGGGTGGATTATAAAAATACTATAAACATTAGTAGCATTATTTTAAAGCAACAAAACACTTTCATTAAATAGCAAGGAAAGGAAAGAATGTAACAGTCCTGACCCTTTAATATTCTTTCTATGTATTTTATTGAGCAATGGATAGTTTTATTGATTAGCTAGGAGAATGTGGTTGAATTGTGCAGCAGAATCCGAAATACTGAACTGATTCTACTTTTACTTTACTTCCGGTTTGTGTAGTGTGTTACAGAGTTTCACTAAATGTTTAATTGTGCTACCAAATTTGCCATATTTCTGCCATTCCACCAACCACACAAAGAATTAAGCTCAGGAAACTAATAAATATATTGAAAATTACCTGGCTGTGATTCTTGTAGACCAGCTACAGTTTTAAGGCTAAACATATATGAATTGTAAAATGATCTCCGTCCAGTAAAACATCCAAATAAAACTATCATATTCTAATACAAGTCTTTTCCAAACTGGTATTCTCTAGTTGTATTAAACTACATTAATTTTACACCAAAAACAGACCAGACATCTGGAATACATTAGCCTGGGGAAAGCTGGTATAAGACACATCAGTCTCTCAACAATCCAGAGACCCTTTAAAATCTATACTGATTTATCCAACATATGTTCTTCCATATCAGCTCTAGGCTCTGTAACTGCCTGTTTAGTTAGCAGAGTTAACATTGCAATGTACTTGGGAGACCAGAAAAATGGTCAGTTTGCTGGAGAAAGAGCCTCAAGTGATGTAAATATTTGATATAACCAAACATGCTTTTTCTCCTAAAACACAAGTTTTTTTTTTATTAAAGAGTTTTATAAATTTTACAAAAAATAAAAAACAATACAAAAACAAAAAACAACATATACAAATAAAAAACAAACATTACCCAACAAAACCCCCCTTCCCCCACCCCTACCCAAACCCCCCCCCTTCTCCCCCCAGGACCTCCCAGAGCAGAATATAGGCTTAATTAAAGAAAAAGTTAAAAAAATTTATAAAAAAAGAATATAAAATAGAAAATATATATATATAAAGTTAAAAATTATGAAAAAACTATATAATATTTTTTATATCAAATTTAAATTGTATGAATTTTATCCATTTATCCCAAACAGCAAGAAATTTCTCTTGCGCTAAAACACAAGTTTTTAATATACAGATCTATTCTGTCCTGGAATAATCCCAAGGAATATATTATCTTTATGAGTGAACATTTATAGCGAACAATAATGTGATACTGTGAAAAAAGCTGATGTGCTATCAACAACCATTTTACCATTTGTAATTACCATAAACTGTGCTGGCTATTGAATTAAAGATTATACACTGGGAATATCTAAAAGCAGAGGATTTTTCTTATTCAGAGTCGTATTGGCATTACTACTAGGATCTTCTTCTGTAAAGCCCACAGGAGAGCTATTCTTATCTAGAATGCATCTAGAAAATGGTCTTTTTGTGCCTTTCAAAATCAAAGTTTAGATAATGTTGTGTTGTTGCAGGAAAATGTTGATGTTAAATTTATCCCTCCAAAGACAAACTTGTATGCCCATCTTTGGGAGAGATAACTCCAAAGAAATTTGACTGAGGAACATCTTTAGATTTCGGGATTTATGTTATAGATTTCTTAGCAATGATCTCAACTTACTCTTTCATTTCAGTCCACCAAAAAGTGTCATATATAATTAATGCTGTATTTATTATTACATTTTACAGGCAGGAATGGTATTGAGATGCGGACACTTCTGGATTGGTTTACTGCTAGTGCCCACAGCGTGCCTTGTTAAAGATGTGGCATGGAGAGCGTAAGTTATTACTTACATTCTTTTGAAAAACATTATTTGCTTAAACTTACAATATTTCAGGTTAGTCCTACAGCTGCTGACCCTTAATCTCAATCCTAAATCAGTTAGATGGGTACAAGGTGATAATCAGTGCTAGTGGTTCTTTTTAGATTCTCTGCAAACATGCAGCCATTTATTTTCCTAGACAACCTTCCATTTCCTCACCCATGAAGATACATATAACACTGCTTTTTAAATGAGTATAGAAGTCAAATTTTATATAGGATGGTACTTAATAATGATGAATATTTAATGCAAAATATTATGATTTTCCAAATGAAAATCCTTGTTTGTCTCTTAACTTTGTATCTCACTGTGATATGAAGAATGCATGAGTTTCTTGATGGTTTGGGTTCCTTACCAATATTTCCAAACAAGACCATATTTTAAATTTATTGATTGAGTATGGAGCTAATTTTAGAGCCCCCTGCTATGTTTCATTCTGCACCAAAAAAAATGGGCCTCTGAAAAAGGAGCAAAATGTTATCAGAAAGAAGACAACTTCTTGTGATCTTCTTCAGTATCCCAGGTCTTGGAGACTTGGCTATTTTCAACAGTTACTATGGATTAAAAGTAATTCTACAATGTGTTCTGATGGAAATAAATGGATTCATAATCATGTAACCTTCAACGGGAGTAAGTCCAACTAACATTGTTGTTTCAATTTGCAACAGAAGATTGGTGTTCTTAACTATCTAAAAAGTAGAAGGTGGCTAAGAAGTTTGTTTCATCTTTAAATGACCCAGTACCTATAGTAGGGCTTGCAAGTTGGAGACCTTTTTTACACTTGTTGAATGGTCATGGAATCATGTACATTTTTCTGTCCGTTGCAGGAAGTGCTGAAGAAAGGAAGAAATTGATTGCAAATGCTCATTCTGAGAGGATTTTTAAAAATTGTTTTTAAAAAAACAAAGAAACTGGAAGAGATCTCTTTGCAGTTTAATTTTTAAGAGTGCAGATCTCTCTGTCATGTCAATTGTATCAAATATGCCTGGGGGAGAGGGGTTCCCTAAAAAGTTTTTTAGAAAAATATTCTAGACAAAATATCTGTCTCCAGAAGAAACACATCAATACCATCTTTCCCCTCTCATCTTTGTTAAGATGATACTAAGATTCTGAAAATACAAAAAAGAATAATCATATTTCACTGACAAAGTTTCACTGTCATACTTCACTGATAGTGTGAAAAAATATGTATTGTATGGGTGAGACTGTATTGCATTGCTTTTATATTGTAAAATCTTTTGATGACCTATTCCATCAGTATCAAAACCTGAAGTAGGTTTTGCAGCCACTGCAAAAATACTATTATTTTTGCTGTTGCCCTCAAAGTAAAAGGAAATCATTCAATTAAATGTGAGAAAATAAAGTGGAATATCCAGATCTCTCAAGCTCTCTTTCTCACTCCCTCTTCCTCTCTTTTGTACTACTATATCTGAACTGCAAAACACTGAGAACAAATAGATGATAATAAGGAAGTGCAGATACTGTCTTGCTATCATCTAGCAGATTTCTAGGTTTTTCACTGTTGATAAACTATCTTGAGTATATATGTGTCTGCATATGGATGTGTGTGAGTATGATATGTGCCCATTATATGCTTAATTCAGTCAGTCACTAATTTGAACAACTCTCTCACTGATGTATCTGGTGGCACACAGTTATTCTAATTGGAACAAATATTACTAAATTTGATTCTCAAAAGTATGCATTTGAGATTTCTACAAATATTTAATTGCCTGGATAATATGATATTTATTCAGCTACCAAATTTCTGACTGTAATAGCAAACTGTATGCTATCTAATGAGCTGAGAAGCAGAGCACATAGCTAATATCATACTATGGTCCTATTTCAAATTGAATAAACCCAGGGTCTTTCATCAGTAAATCAATTGGAGAGAGAGGAGAAAAGACTAATAGATAATCCTCTGTTTTTTTATATTAATCCTGTACACATCAATAAGATCTCAATGCATTTCAGTCCGAATTCAATATTAGAATCCCTGACCTCTCTTTTGGATGACAAGCAGAAGAACTGGAGTGGGGAGGGCACCCCTCCTATCCTAAATGATCTATAAATTCAATCATCAATCATTGATCACCTCTGGATGAAGGCATTGTTTTGCTGTGGTTGTCCTCCTTTCTCTAGGCACAGTTTCAGTCAATGAGTTGGGTTTTTGACCTCTACAGCCCTACATTATGAAGTACCATAGGGCTCTATTTTCTCACTTCTATTTAGCAGTTACATAAAACCACTGGAAGGGATTATCCGCCAGCATGGCATATAATATCAATTGCATGTGGATAATATTTTGGTGTATATTTTGACCCTAAGCCAAATGACACTGTTGAGATGCTATCCTGAGGACTGAATGGATTTTTCTGGAGAGGAATAGACTCAATCTCAGCAAGATGGAGTGGTTGTGATTTGAAAGCTGATACCAGTGAAATTTCTTCTTTGATTCTGGATGATGTTGTGCTCTTTCAAATTTAACTATTTCACAACTTGTAGTTCATCTTGGGCTCATAGCTCTTGGTCAAGGAGCAGGTGGCAGTTGTGGTTAGAAGGTTTTTGCACAATTCCTACATAGTACTTCAGTGGTATCAATTTTGGGACCAAAAAGTGCTACTCGTGCCTTGGGCCATGCCTCATTTGGACTATGGTACTCTATGGACTATGGTCCGCCCTTTGAGCATCATCTTTGAGCATCATCTTCATGAGCCATGATAATGTATCCATCCAATAAGACAATTAAAATGAATGAAAAACTCAACTTTTTTATGTGTGTTTCTAAGAATTATTAGATTTTAGAAATTACTTTTTGTGTATTAGAGTAGACCACATAAAGGATGGAACAGATCAGTATTTTATTTGTATGAATATTTCTTATATTTCTGTACACTTGTGGCTCAAAAACTCAGGGCTAACTGAACCACATATGTGTTCTTGAAAAGATATTTGTCTTTTTTGGCTGAAATTCAATTGTGCTCAGCGTCATCTGAAAGTTTGCAAGAGATCCAGGACAACATACAGTCCATTGGCTAGCCTAGCTGTTCCTGCTGTCTGACCTTGAACAGGAAACCTGACTCTCATGTAGTCAATGAAAGTTGATGTGTTAGTTTCTTTGTTTTGTGTCTTTCTTCTATGATGCAGGGCCAAGCATACTTACCGTAAAACTTTGCTGGAGCAGGTTCAAGAGCTGGAAGCTAAATCCAAAGAGCTGAGGAAGTCTATGCTGCGTGATAGCAATGGAAAGAGGTGGGATCAATTCCATCTTAACTGGAAGCATGCCAGATCCATTTTTTTCCCTCCTCCTGCCTCTTCATTATTTTTGCCATGCATTGCAATGTAATGGTTACCTTCAGAAGAGCAATGTTATTCGTTTACATTTTTTTTTTCAAAAAGCTTCCATCTTTCACTGCTCCATCCCTTATCTGTTGATACATGAGGCCAAATGCAAGTAGGGGTTTGGTTTTTTTTGCATGATAGCTTGTAATATTTTTGTTAGATGTGCTGCCAATCTAAAGTTTTATTTCAACTTGCTTCTTTTTTAAAATGTTGGTTTGGCTCATTATGTTGTGGTTCTGAACAAAAATATATTAAGACCATATTAAAAATCGGGGATAAAGAAGAACAGATCTATCTTTTCAAAAACAATTACTACTACCACCCTTCTTAAAATGAATCAAAGTTATTGAAGAAAGTTAGAGAATTTATTACTGGATAACTGAGAACTTTGCATTAGTATTTGATCTCTAATTTATGGATAAGAAAGCATCAACACTCATTCAAAATCTCCAGGATCTGAAAAGCTATTTTTTATTTATTTATTTATTTATATTTTATTTATTTATTTATTTATTTATATTAAAATTTATAGACCGCCCTACTCCCGCAGGACTTTTAATCTTATTCAGAGACTTGACAGCACAAACTGCTTTTCAGTCTTAGCTTAGTAGAAAACAGTTTAGAAACAAGAGTGGCTGTTACTGAAACAAAAGTCCAAAGTTTAGTTGACTTGAGTTGACAGTCATCTAATTTTTGAATTCAAAATAACCTCTGAATATATTAAAATAAACTTATTTATTTTGTCCCATTGATGGTTTCAGATATTACCCAACAGAACATAGGCTTGTCCAACATATTATTTAAGCATGCCAGAGACCTTTTGAGTAGTACAAAAATTATTTCCGTATTGAAGACCATGATAGGCCAGCTCACACTATGAAGACCATGATAGGCCAGCTAACACTATCTTTCAGCATGTACAAATTTTACTTTTAAATTATTAACAGAGTTCTCCTTTGGATGATAACCTGAGTGTTTCTGTATTGTCACTTGATCCTCTAGAAACTAGAGCTAATGCATATGCTATGTGGGGATTTTTTTTTTTTATCTGATGTGAAAGACATTGAAGAGACTTCTCTTGAGCCCATCCCTTCCCTGCACCCCTTCTTTGAGCTTCAGAGGGTTTCAGTTAGCGCTTTTTATAAGGCATTGTGCTTCAGCAAATGGGAAAGTGTCACAAGTTCAGAAAGGTTTTGTAACTCACACTTGTGTTCTTCAAACAATATGACTCTGTGTGATGTGAGAAGGAACTTTCATAATAATTAAGCATGATTTTAACAAACTCTCTCAAGTACTATTGTAAGTAGAAGGAGGCTTCGGAGACAAAATTTCAGCCTTGTAGGGCAAGATCAGTCTTGGGCAAGGCTCATGTATTTCTGGTAAATTAATTGCCACATTGTGACTGTTGTTGAAGCAGATGGGCAAATAAATCTATAATTCCATTTCTTTCAATAGATTTGCTATCAAATCACAGGACTTTTGCTAAAATAAATAAAAGATTCCAAGATCTGGGTTGGTTTTTTTTTTTTTTACTCAATTGTGTAATGTCGCTGAACTGCTTAGATTTATGTGGTTGTTGGAAGAGAGCCACAGTCCTAAAATAGCCAAAATTAGTCTGGTGTTACCTTTTCAAACTAACAGTTTTTATTAAAAGCCATAAGCTTTTGTGAAGTAGAGCTCATGTCATTAGATGTGTGGGGTGGATTTATGTATTTGTCTATATCTGCCTTCCCCAATCTGATGATCTCTAGTTATGAGTTAGAGCAGAGTTCCTATTATATATAACCTATTTAACACATCAGAGACATCCCTGCTCCTCCACCAGCTGAAGAAAGCTAGCCTAGGCAATCATTTCTAAATTAAAATAATAGACTTCTTTCTCATTTTTGTCCTGAAATACTTCTTTGTGTTTCTGGACTCTTCATACACTTTTTAATCTGTGTATTTATCCCATAAACATTAGGACATTGCTGACTGATTTTTGCAGTCACATTGATTGTAAATAGTTGCAGTTATAACTTACAAGAATTTATTTTGTTCTTATTCTGTACTAAACATAGTCCATTGTACTTCAAAAACAGAAGTCAGGATCTAAGACTGCAGTCTCTAATCCTTCTTCTGATGTGATGCAGATGATCCCTATTTTTAAAAAAGTTGAAATCCTTCCGATTATCAGCTGTTAAAGAAAGGGAGTGAGGACTAATTTCAGTTCTATTTGCTCCCCCTACTCCAAGTGTTTTCAGCTATTTAAAAACAGACCTGCATCTTCAGTTCCAGCTGTTCCACGTGCTCTTTAGGGGATCATCATCTTAATTTATGAAACACTCAAATCGTCATCACCTGGATGGTTGTGTGTGCATCTGCAAAAGTGTTCAACATTGTGTATAAACATGTCTGTGGGTGCGATTGGCTTTCCTCTGCCATGTTGACTTATACTGTTTTGGCATTCTATAAATTTGCACTGCCATGTTCTGCTTCATTCCGAGAGAGTGTACTTTCTTGGCCATTTGTTTTACTATGTTCCCTTTCCAATCTCTTTCGTCTGTATTCCTTTTTTTTTTAATTGGCTCCCCTCATTCTCAGTAGGCTTGTAAGCAGACAATATAAGGAATCCCTGCCAGCCCTTTGGCCCATTCCTCTGCCCCCCAAGGACTCCCCCTCCTCTCTTCCTCCACTCTGCATTTGTTTTTTCTCCTCCTTAATTGTACCCAGGTTTCCTGGGTGGTCCATCTGCAAACTAGATAATGGTAGAGTGTCTCAGCCTGCCTGAAGTTGATGTGTCATGCTTTTGATGAGGCCTCTTGAGTGCCTTCTGAGAACGTTCTCTCTCTCTCTCTCTCTCTCTCTCTCTCTCTCTCTCTCTCTCTCTCTCTCTCTCTCTCTCTCTCTCTCTCTCTCTCTCTCTCTCTCTTTTGCCTTGTTAGTATCCTGGCTCTTTCACACCTGCTTGAAAATGTGCTTGTCTTTCAGAAATCAGGCATTTGGAAAAAGCAGTGCACTGGGAATTTTCTAATAGTGCAATCTAAGACAAGATTGGGATACAATTTTTTTTTTTTAAACGTGATGTTATTTCCATTCTTCTCACTCACCTCTTTTTTTGAGGTCCCTGCTGGTAATCATGCTGTTTTGATTTAGCATGAAATCATCCAAGAAGGTATATTTAATTATGACCAAAAACCTAGGAAAGCTAAAATGTCAAAAGTGTAACATTATGTTGTTTATATGTATATAATGATTTTCTTGTAATTTTAGAAATAATGGTTGTAATTTAGATAGAAATACAATAATATAATATTTTACCATGATGGGAAAGACTGTTTGGTGAGTTGGTCACCTGCTCTGTTTGTCCTCCAGGGATTGTTGGTGGGCTGCTTCAAAGTCCTTGTCTCCAGTGTGTGTGTGTGTGTGTGTGTGTGTGTGTTTAATCTTTGATCTGGCTTTAGATTCTACAACCTTCAAGTAAAGATTTGTCCATTAACAGCCATTCAACTGTTCTCTGTAAAGTAAAACAAATTACAGTGAAATTACAGTTGATTTACTTATTAAAAAATTGAATTTATGCATTTATGTTGTATACACTACATGTCCTCCCAATTGCTTCAGTATAAATGTCAGTTCTATTGGGAGTCATTCTTGCAGACTATTCCACTAAGACAGGGGTAGGCAACCTTGGCTCTTTTATGATTCGTGGACTTCAACTCCCAGAATTCCTGAGCCAGCCATGCTAGCTCAGGAATTCTGGGAGTTGAAGTCCACGAGTCATAAAAGAGCCAAGGTTACCTACCCCTGCACTAAGAGATCTCCTCCCGCCCCAACACCCTAAAATCTGGATTATAAACACATTATCATCATGCCTTTTCTTTTCTTAAAATACAGTCTCCTTCATTTAAAAATATCAGAAAATAAGATATCCCATTCAAAGATCTGTAGAAATAACCTGCAGTGCTACAATCCCATCTAAATCAAAAGGATCCTGGCTTTTAGTATGGAAAACTCTGTTATATAGGAGACATCAGTACCAAAGAGGACTTCTACCAATGGCTGATACTAGATATTTCTGGAAGTACTGAGAAGTGCTTGATTGATGTGGTTGATTTTCTGAGGTAGGCTTAAGTTGGCTGTTCTGGTGCCACCAAATCACGTTATCATGTTTTAAAGATGGGTATGAGGTGATAAGATTCAAGATCACAAAATTTCACTGTGGTACAGTGTAGAATTTTAAATATAAGATCAGTAGCTCTTGTGTAAATCTATAAAGATGCAAATTTTACTTAAGCAACTCTCCAACCATGTTCGTTAGAAATGACCGGCTCAATAAGAACTTCTTAGGAAAAATTTCTTTATAATTTCCCATTATTGTGAAATGACTCAAATCACAACTGAAGGTTTCTCGTAATGAGAGAGTCAGAGAGCACCCTTCCCCTAGACATGAGATTAGCTTCAGCCTTGTCAGTCTTCCATAAACAAGTTGAGATGGAGCTTTTCTAAAGTTTTTTTAATTACTTGAGAAGATGACAATGTTTTTATTGCTTTGGTTAAGTTGTTGGTTTTAATGTATTATATTTATTATACCCTGCATGTTTTATTCCTATGTTTATAATTGTGCTTTCTTTACACTGCCAAGAGTTGTGTGTGATTGTGGTGGTCTAGAAAGCTAATAACTAAATAAATAATGCAGGGATGTAGATTTAAAAATAAAGATTATAAAGTTATGCAGAGTTAAGACAGCTGTGTCAGCACGCATTTAAAAAAAAAATAGCCTTAAAAAAACACCTATGGATTTTCTTGCTTAACAGTTCCTCTTGCCCATTTCAACTTGAGATCAAAAGGGAAAGTGAGGGGAAAACAAGTTCTATGATTTTAAAACCACTCTCATTGATAGGAGTTACAATATACACTGAACAGCATGC